TTCACAGTGAGGGTGGCGAAACCCTGGCCCAGGTTGCCCAGAGAGGTGGCCGATGCCCCATCCCTGGAAACATTCCAGGTCAGGTTGGACGGGGCTCTGAGCAACCTGATGTAGTCAAATATGTCCCTGCTCACTGCAGGGGGGTTGGACGGGATGGCCTATAAAGGTCCCTTCCAACCGAAAGATTCTACGATCCTACGATTGCAGGGAATGAGCTGATGTTCTCCAACTCAGGGACAACCAGCACCAACGTAAGCCAGAAACACAAAGCTCCTTGTCTGAGCCAGCTGCTAGAATCAGGTCCCTCACAAGTATGGCACAGGGAAACTCCATTTCTTCAGTGTATACTTTGTTCACTTTCTTTTGCCTTTGCATTACTGGTGTTAGGGTGACAATATGTCCTCCAGTCTACTACTGGTATTTTACCCTGCGCAGGGCCGTTTTCCACCAAGAACCTCTTATCCTACCTAATGCCACTTTGCTCTGTCCCTGCAGGGTCCAGCCCACAGGTTTCATTGCTAGGATTCAATACACTAACCTCCTTCATGACAGATGCTGCCAATTACACCAGGGAATTTGCATAGATACAAAAATGTGACTGTATGTTCAAGTGTTCAGTGTAATATGTGCTAAAGTGTACAGTATAAAGATGTGCTAAAATATTCTGGAAAGACAGGCAGCTTGGTTTAAAACCAGAAGATTTATCACAGTCCCTGTTAAAATCAGAGATGCCACAGTACAGAAGAGAAGATGATGTTCCTCACAGCTTCATTTAGAAGCCTGAGAGCCTCAAAAGTTAAGGTTGCAAACATTTTAATACCTAAAGTGAAAACAGTATGTCTTTCACAGGTTCTGAGCATTTTAAGTTGTGGCTTAGGGATGTACCTATCCTCCCCCCCAGCACTCAGGATAACATATCTCCCAAAAAGCAACATCATATTGTAGTTTCAGGAGACTGGTACCAAAGTCCCTCCACTTTGTCACTTCTGCCCTCACTCTAAAAAGGTTAGCATTACTCATCTACCAACTTGTTTTGGCCTCCACAAGTCAAATGCAAAGAACTGATTTTGTCCCTTGTCTTTCCCCCCTGCCTTTGAAAATAGAATTTATCAATGTCTTTCACATCAGTATACAACACTTCCTATCTTACATTACAAAGATTTGCAGTTAAAGGGGAAAATGCTTTGCTTCTGAAAAACAAGAAAAGGAACAAATATGTCTCTTGCCCAAAAATCCTAAAAATTCTACTTATATAAACAATGCCCCATTTCCAAAGCACAGATTTCTTAAGTTCAGCAAACAGACTGTCTGTGCTGCATTTACACAGAGCCACGTTCATTCATCACTTTCAAGTCTAATTACCAAGCCATTTCCCTCTTGGCAACCTCTAATGGCCAGAAGAATTAGTTTTTACATGGTCAGGATACCAAGGGATAACAAATACCCATAACTCTTTGCAGCTGTGCAATTTGTAAAGCCTCTCAAGCTTTGTCCAGGCAAGGGATTACTGTGAGGCAAACTTTCCTCCTCATGCACTGCTGTATCTGGACCAGTCCTGCGGGTCTCGCTTCAGCACTGTCTCTCCTACAAAAAGTCGTAACAGCAGCTTTCAAAAGTAAGGAGAAAGAAAAAAAAGTCGTAACCCGCTCATGGAAGCAAACACTAATTAGAACCACAGAGCGGTGGAAAAGGCTCCGTGCATCACGTAGCTCACCTCCCCCAGTGCATGACTGCTCCTCGCTGCATGTTAATCCATGAAACGTCAGTTTTGTTTTAAAGATGTCAAGTGGTAGTTTGCTGGAGCTTCTTCCATATGACTAACTCACGGTGACAAGAATTCTCTACCAAAAGCCTTTCTGATGTTTCCTATCTCAATCATTTTTCCCCGCTCAAAACTTATCATGACACGTTTAGCCTTCTACCACCTTTTCTTCCGCAGGTTTGTCATCTGTTCTTTAGAATCAGTTATAGTGAATACCTCCCTTTTTCTTTATAGTCAGTCCATGCAGTTCCTGATTCTTTATTTGCAATTCCCTCTGAACGTCCTCTAACATCTCAACATAAACTAGAGAAAATGGGAAAAACCTTCCAACAGCGCTAGAAGCGCAGTGGAACAGAACAAAATGCAGAAATTAATACAGCTCAAATTATCTTTGTCTTCACTACCACGTTGGAAACTCAAGTCCACTCAGAACCACTCTCTCAACCTCCTGCTTCAAGGATCTCCAGCGTTCTCCATCAAGCAACTGCTCCTTACACTGAACTGTTTTTCTTTCAGAGGTGCAGGATTATATTTTTTGTAAATTCTCTTTGAGGCTGACATGTATCCTGCCCACAGTTTTAATTCTTTGATTAATATGTATTAGTTTGTTGCCTACATGCAAAACATATGAAACTTCTAAGCAGGCTGGATAAGAAGTAATCCTTTCAGAAATAATACATTTTGACACTGAACAATGTCAATTAATATAATTTTTGCTGACTTCAAAGTATTATTTCCTGTAACTAATAAAACACACACAAATAAATTTTGTAAAACAAAACAGCTACACGAGACAGTTAGATTAGGTAGAGTGGTAGATGTATTACAATTATGGGGTTATGGCTTGTGAATGTATAATAAAATTCCGAATGCAGCTACAGTGTTTGCCATAGAGTACTGGCTTGTGCAGTGACAGAGACTCCACTACATGAGGTAAAGGAGACATTATATTGAATGGTGCAAACAAGAAAATTCCTTAGCTGTCTTGATAATACTGGTATTATAACCGATTACAAAGTCTAGTAGTTTGTATGTGCCTGTTGATGAGAAGGGATTGTTTAGTGATCCCTGCAGAGGGTTGGGAGAAAAACATTTGTGTTTTAAACCCACAAGCTTTAGTCAAATCTAAACAAGTCATAATGGGTTAATGAATACTTGGCAAAATGCTTTGAAGAGCAAAAGCATTAAGCAATTACTCAGTGTTAGTTCACATCTGTATTTCAGATCTGAACTATGCATAAAACTACCCTCACAACTTAACAGTTTAGGCTTCTCTGTATCTCCAGACACATCCTGTTAGGATCAGGAAGGGCTACCTACCTGGGAGATTTGGGATGCAGCACATTCTGCACAAAGCCCACAGCATCCTAACAAGGATTTAAACTGAGAGGAAAAACTTTTACAAAGCTGTATCACAGAGTGTTTTTCACTGCCAAGGCAGAGAAAACTAATGCAACCAACAGAGGGAATAGGGAGACAATATAAACAGGTGTTTCCTTGAAAACCTAAGTATGGTTAGTAATAGTACAGGAAATGGATCTCCAGAGGCCACAAATCGTTAGCATCTCTAATGCATTTGCAAATTCCTACTGTGCAAAGTCAGCCTGTAAAAAAAAAAAGGCCATTTCTAATAAGTGCCTTGTCTGGTTTCCTACACCATTTAATTTCAGATGAATTTTATGAGAACTCTGCTACATATTTTACCTCCCATCTGGTTCAGATTTGACAATGAAATATTTGTGTCCCACCCTGTTCTTTTTAAAGCTCCAAAACCAGATGTCTCGAGCACAACATGACTGCAGCAGGTCATACCACATTCTTCAGTGAGCTGTGCCAGGCCTACTGCCCCCCAGACAGTTCCAGGTAAGGTAAAATTGGGTTGTTTACTCCCTAAAAGAATAAAGCAAGCAAGCAAACACAAACACCACCTCTAGGGCACTGTGTGAAAAGGCTGATTAAAATGTACTATGGCTTATTCTTCCAAAAGGTTTTATCTTGATGAAGTGGTGCTTCCGAAAGCTAAACACATTAAGAACTGCAGCAGGAGGAGACATTTTCCCCCCCATTGGCTTGATTCCAGCACATATTTTTGCAACTTCTCTATTGTGACAAGCAGGCAGGTGTTTCAGTGCGTACCACAGGGTGGCTAGCATTTCTAGAAAGTTTACAAATTTCACAGTTGCATACACTGCATATGAGAAGGATGCCGATGAAGACATCTTCTACCAGATTTTGTATTTTCTGCAGAAAATGTGTTCATTTCTCAGCTGTTTCACAGGGCAGCTCTGTGCTGCACATGATGCCACCTCCTACAACATAAACAATTTATGCCACTGAAATGTCAGAATGACACTTTTTATCCTTTCCTGCAGATACAAACAGCCCTTTTGCAATACAAAGGAACCTGTATGGATGCCAAGGTAGCTTCTTTTCCAGAAAAATTAGGAAGTTGTGATGCACTTTTAAACTGGAGAAATAATTTCTATGTGCACATATTTGATAGTTTTTCATGCAAAACAACAAAGAAAAGAAGTACTTGCTCACAACAAGTAGTAGTATTTTATAAGAAGGTGTCCCCCAAGAAAGACCACTTACAGAACCTGTCAAATCTTAAATGCTATAGGAGCAACTAAAGTCTGCTATAATCCTCCTTCAGACAAGAGCTAAACATCTCTCAATGATTACAATGCAGGATATTAAAAAAAACATTGGTAGCTGCTTGCACATTAATCCCTTTTTAAATGTCACACATAAAAGGCCGTAAGTGTTCCCAAACCTTTTCATGACATTTTTCCCAGTCTGGCAAAATGTGTAAACGAAAGTGTAAATGTAGGCATATGCGTAGTCTCCTTGGAAAGCCGTGTTATATAGCATATGATCATATTGTTTGCATGACAGAGACACTGTATTAGGCCAGTGCAACAACTCTGGGAAAAGAAAGGAGTTGGTTACTGGAAATAAATGCAAGCTAAAACCACAGAAAAGAGCCAAAGGGCATGAGAACCAGTAGAATCATCCCTGCTAATGAGATGAGAAAGGAGGAACTCCACCTGCTTACCTGTTTATGGCAAGTTAAATACATTTGTATTTAGTAGAAGTCACAAATGCTATCCTTCTGCATGTGGAATGAATGTATTTAATAAAATAATTCTAGAAAGGTAAAACACTTGTGCTTCCACAATGTAAGAGTAATTTATCAGAAAATAACATTTATGATTTTTCTAACAGGATTACTTACTTTCCCCTTTCAACTGCTAAGGCATCTATTTCATCAAAGAAAAGAATTGAAGGAGACACCGCTCTGGCTTTCCTGAAGATCTAGAAAAACAACAATGACACACTCACTGTCTACAGAATGCTATCACTCTCTGCACACCTCAGAAGCTACAGAGCATCACAGAACAGACATAAGCCTTGTCATCTGTTTTTGAGGGGTTGTTTTGATAAAACTGGACCTTTTAGAACTTATTTATGATACTGTGAGATGCAGGCTTATAGTGAAAGCTGCTACTGGATCCCAAACTTGACATGCAATCACTAGGCCAATACAGGAAGAATTTAAACAACACAGAATATCCCTTCTACTTTTTTTTTTTCTTTCCTTTTCTAAAACTTAAGCCAGAAGGAAGTTTTTTGGATAGTTTAAAGGTAACCTTATAAAGCAGAGAATTTGAATGCCCAGAAGGCTTAGCATAACACTATGTATAGCTTGCACTTTCTCACCTCTCTCACTGCTCGTTCAGACTCACCAACATATTTATTCATCAGCTCAGGTCCCTGCAAAATTAAAAAAAAAAAGTTTAAAAACACATTACGTATACATACAAAATGACCAAAACAATATGCCAGTGCTACATTTCTGATGCTGTGTTACAAGGAATTTTGATAATTTGTCACTTGCAAGTTTTATTTGTGCATTTTTAGACTTACCTTCCACCTGTACCAAGTTTTCCTCCATTTGTTATAGCACTGTGCATGCAGGTAACTATGCATGTAGATTAGTCCTCTCATCATAATACTTTCCTAGTGTTTTCATGAGAAACGGAATTAACCAAAAAAAACAAACACTTTGGGGTTCTTAAAAGTTGTTGGCTCAACAAGAGGAACAAAGGGGCTGCAAATCAGCCAACAAGATGAATTACAGAAAAGCATTTACTTGTGCTTTCAATATGCATCCTGTCCAGTCAAGCACCAAAACAGTGACTTCAACCAGTGTTTAACAGCGCTTATTTGAACCCGACAGTTTGCAGGTCCAGAAGGAAGAAGCTGCCATAGCAGCACACCTGAAACCCATCCATGAGGTGCTCCATCCCCAGCAAGAAAGATCTTCAGTGTCTTAGCTCATACACATTCCTTCTCCTCTCTGCCAAGACCGCCAACCACACTTATTAGTGCCAGGATAAGTGCCAGCTGCTGCAGTGCCTGTTTATACTAACAGCTCTGTCCACTAGGAACAGACTGGAAACGACGGGGTCAATGTTCAAATCTTGAACAAGTACTTACAATTATCAAAAGCAAAACAATTGAGAATTCTCAGAGTATTTTGTGTTCTGCTATATCCTGTAGGATAGGCTGCTTAAATAATACTTCCTAATGGGACTAAGATTCTCATGGGACTGGTAATGACTCACTGACTTCAGCCTGGTTTGCATCAACATTGACCTGCAGCCCCAACCAGTGATGATCATCCACTGCCCTGAACTAAGAGAGCCAGTGGCTTCAATCTATTTTCCAGGGAACAGGTGTCCTCGTAATTTCACCAGCAGAAACAACATCCCTCTTCACAGTCAGAAAACTGAATTTTCCTATGCTTCACAGCTGCGAGTACCTTCAGGTAACACTCAGCTCAGAGTAGTAAGGCAGCTTTAAACAGCAGGTATGTTAGAATTAAGAATGTGTGGCAGACACATCTTTACACATTGGCAGTGACAGAGCTTGTGTTACAACTGCTCTTTGAATGGGACCATCTGGACTTTGTACCCAGATCAGCAGAATACAGATTCATTACTATAAAAATGCAGCACACTTCTTTTGCAGTCTCCTCTCTCCACACTCATTTTCACTCTTTCAATAACAGTTAAGGAACTGACTTTATCTTGACACTGGCACCATTGGAAAGTACCTGCATGTATGTAGAGGGGGAAAACAACATATACTCAAAAAAGAAAAGCACAAGTTATCTGATATAAGCAAAGCATCCAGGCTATGTCACTACTTTTATGTATTTATTTTCAAAGAGTTGTCCATTATCCAAATGTCTATCTGCAGTAGCCAGACCTAGTGTAGCACACAGGTAGAAGCAGTCATGTGAAGGTTGGAAGAAGAGCACTGCGTGCCTTGCCCATAGGAAGCATAAATGTTAGAATTAGCATCGCTTCCTTTCATCCACCCTTAAAGCAGCTGCTGCAGTAGCTAAAGTTAGTGTCACCTGCAGGCTTTCAACAACTTAAAAATTTGAGAGTATGTTGGATACTTGTGTGGAAACGGAATTATTCAGACACATAATATAAGAATGCAGGAAATAGAGAAGGAAAAAACACGGTAAGAGAGAGAAACACAAAGCCTGTTCCTACTCTTCACTGTGGACACTGAACATGAGGGGCATGCAGCAGTTCGTGCAGAACAAGCTCGCAGCTCAGAGACAGCAGCCAGCTGCTCCGGGCCCTTGCCATTCATCACGTTCAGTGCCGATGAGGAATCCGATAGCGTGGGCCTAACAACTCCTTCAGGAACGAGAGCGCAGTCTTCTCTTTCTGTTTAGCTTTCTGTTAACTGAGCTGATAGGCTGAGAAACCTTTGCACATTCTACCCACAATTATAGATTTCTTTTATGAACGTTTTCATGGAGCCTGTAGACCTTCTCTTTCATGCCCTTATTCTCATAAGTAATCTTCATTCACATCAGTAATCTCATGGAAACCAACATCATATACATCAGTGCCAAGTGCACTCCTCTAGTATGACACAACATCAAATAGCCTGACATTTTTTTTTTTGTCTGAGAAAAAAAATACTTAAAACCAAAACTACTCTCTTTGAGCTTTAAGGTACAATATAATTTCAGATGCTTGGAGTTTTATTTTTAATTAAACATTAAAATATGATCAAGGCAACATCAAAGCAATAAACACTGTTTAAAATGATTCCAAAGAGAATTATTTTGAATGCATGGTTTTGCTGTAAGCTTTGACATGAAGTTTTTCTCCATTTTTCTCTTCATTAAGCAGCAACTCCAGGTGAAAGACTACTATGTATTAATGACCTGTGCCTCTTCATGAAGAATTTTCATGAAAACCGATTTGAAGATCTCCTAGTTCACCACTCATGAGCAATACCAAAACTGCCATTGAGAACCATGTTTTTTGCTGCAAGTGGCTTGGAGCTCTTACTATGCATGGCAATAAAGGAAAAGACTCCAAAGTAAGAGAAAGCACACACAGAAGAGGAGGAATTGGTATACATTTCATCTCATGCAAACACTTAAAACCACAACACAAAAAACTAGAAACGTTCAAAGAAGCTGAATGCAGAAACTGAACTAGGTTAGCTCTGGTCCCACCTGAGCTGAAGCTCTGCGTTACCCTGCCTGCAAATGGGCTGTTCTTTAGTCGAGATTGATGGCAGTTCTTTCAAAAGATAGGTGTGTATCACAAGCAGTCTATAGGCCACCACGAAGTCACCTGCTGGCAGCTAAGACAGTTTCTAATATTTCACAAAGCTCACCTTCTCTTTTTAGGAAGGTTGCTTTGAAGTTGGAGGCCACTCAAGAAATACCAGGAGGGTTTGTGGGTTTTGGTTGGTTTGTTTTTTGTTTGTTTGTTTTTGTTTTTTGGTGGTTTTTTTTTTTTTTTTTTTTTAATTTTTCGATGCTTTAAAAATCAAATTACGTGAGCCCGACTTAGTCAGAAAGTTGACATTTGGTGAAACATCATTTCTGGCCCAGAGGTGAGCATAATGATTCCTTTAAAAGCTGTTTATAGCTGTTGATACATTAAGAGGTGCTAGTAACAAATGGTCCAGTTTAATGATGCATAGCTCTATTCTCTTCTGCAACAAGCCATCTTCCATACAAACGGACCTGAAGAAATAAAACCTATTCCTTCTGGTCATTTGGCACAGTGACTCCAAAACCAGCAAAAGATTTGGAACGGGAAAGTGGCAGAATAGTTGTAGCTTAGCCATGCATATAAGCATTCCATTTGTGAGCTACAATCCAGACTAATAGTATAAAATCTGCCAATTCAGGCCCACTGTACACTGCCGAGTTTTGTTTATTCAGCCTCAAAGCAGAAAAAGTTTCCACATATACTCTGTTTAAAGACTATCGCATCCTCATTTACAAGATACATTCCCCTTTTATCATGAAACCTTCCACTTGTTTATGGTCTGGATTGGGTGTTGATTTTTTTTTTTTTAAATAAAAAAAGCAAGAAAAAAGAAGAATTCCTTACATTTAAAATATGATCAGAATAAGCTCTTGAAAGATCAACTGCACAAAAGATAAAACACTTGTATACAGGCTGCAATATGAGATAAGCTTGTGTATACATGCTTATGACGGAAGTTCTCAAAGTGTTTTTAAACTGCAAGAGGAACATCTGGTATCCCTGAAGTTAAAGAGTATCAGTCATTTTTCTAAGCAGTGCTTAAAACCACTTGCAGATTTTTTCCACCTGAAAATACAGGGGTAGTGACTTTCAACTGATAGGAAATTGAGTCAGTGACTTCCCTCTATAAATAATGTTTTTACTATTTTGACAATCAAGTTATGCACTTCTGCTTGTTGAGCCAGATGGACACAGCTCCAGGTTTCTCCAGCATACAGCTCTGTCTACTCTCTTCAAAAATACCACCCTAACTTCACATGCAGGTTCTGGGCTCTAACACAGACACACTAAACCATGTTAAGCCATAGAGCACGATTTCAATTTTTTTAAAAACCCAATTAATTAGAGAATTTATATCACATCCTACAGATTATTACTCTACAATAGCTAATGGACAATTCCTTCTTTGCCTTGTTCAGATTAGAAATGATCAAACAGACATTAAAATATCAGCCATAATTAAGATTTCATTTCAAATGAAATATCTATGAACTGAGCTCTGTACTGTAAATCTCAAAACAAGAGGAAAAAAAGGACAGGGGGTGCCAAAATTAGTTTTCAACTGTTCACAACATGTACCTAGGGCAATGTTCATCGCCCACACTCGGACATCTGCATCTGAGTTAGACATTCACACTAACCTACTGGGACAGACAGACGTAATGCACCTCTCTCTGATGTGCTAATATCTCGTCAGACTGCAGGAGGAGTGTAGACAGCCAGCTCAGAGGAGGGAAGCTTGATCCCACCCCTACCAGGACATCTTTCACCGAATTAAAACCAGTGTTTTGGCTTGCACCCCCCTCCCCTTTTTTTTTTTCTTTTTAAAATTCTTTCCAGTTCTATGACAATGCAGGTGAGATGATCTACTATAACAACATTAACTAATTTCTGAGTCTCTTCCAAGGCAGTTAGTCTTTTTGATACTGTAATCTCAATGGCAAAATGGTTTGACTGTGGTAGGGATGGGATAGCAAAGCAACATACGATTCAGGCGGGCTGCAGGAAAGAGAGTTAACAAGATAAACAGTGAGACTTCCTTTATTTTAACAGTACGGCTATTTCCAACACGAAGGTTGTACATGTGTGATTTGGTAATTGGTTACGCTAGATAGAAAAGTATTTGCTCAGAAAATGCATTATATTTGCTTGTTAAGAATAAAGCCTAAT